TTAAACTCATTTTCACAACTCTTATACCTAATTATTACATTTGATTCCTATTTTATTTGAGAACATTCTTCAGTTGTTATCACTGAACGTTGTGGGAATGTTTTGTAGAAAAAGTTCTATGAAGTGTTCCTCAACAACATCCCCAGAACATCCCCAGAACGCTGCAGGCAAACGTGTACCACATTTGTTAATATATGACATTAGAGAAACGTTTTATTGAAAAATTTAAAATAAAAAAAATCACCTGAGGCCTCGATAACACGTGGAAAAGATTTTTCTGTTGAATGTTGGCATCAGAATGATCCTCGTTTGTTATCATCTGAGTTTCTGACAACATCCTAAAACATGACTTTTGTATATTTATATGTCAACTTTACAGCAACAATACTTCTTAAAATGTTCTTTAAAAACATTAGAACCTGTAGGTTGTGTTGTCCAAAGCTGCTGATAGTGGCAGTTTAAAAAAAAAAAAAGAAGAAGAAGAAGAAGAAGTTTTTGCAATGTGGTGCTAAAATTTCACAAATATCTTCATAAATATCGATATTCTGTGTTAGAAAATATGTCAGTAAATCAGAGCTATAAATGTGCTGATTCGGGAGGGACTGACCCTGAACAACCCTCACCGCGGTCTGAATCACCGACAGCCCCTGAACGCACCGCGCGCCGGTGAGCTGGATACTTCGGGTTACCTCAGACAAACCAGCGACACCATGAGAAGGCAGTAATCTGACACACAGCGGAGCCTCCCGGATTAAAAACGGATTATTAACAGGCGATGACAGCAGGACCCGGTCCGAGCCAGGGCTCCGTCTCCACAAAGTCCAGACCCTCCGTCCTGCCCGGATCCACCTGCCCGGCCGAACCGCGCCTCCCTCCGCGGCCCTGAATGTCTAAACTACCAGGAAATGCAGGTGTGTCGGTGCTCGGGGACAAGTCGCTGGAGTTCTACCGGGATCCGGTGAGCTTCTGCCGGCAGAGGATCGAGAAGCACCGGGGCAGAGTGTTCCTGAGCCGCCTGCTGAACCGGCCCACCGCCCTGGTCTGCTCCGTGGAGGCGATGAGGGAGCTGCTGTGCGGTGGGTATCTGGACACAGCTGGAGGGGAGACTGAGAAACATCTGTTTAATCCGTTTAAAATAACGTAAACATGTCAGGAACATACGTTTCCTTACAGCTGTATGAGCTCTTGGTGGTTATTCTGTGCTTACATCCACTAAAATGGGTCAAAAAGTTAATTATATGTCTTGTAGAAATTAAAAAACCATCATGGGGTCATGTGATCAGTCAGAAAATGCAGTTTGTGTTAAATAATAAACTAATTTAGCATACACAAACTTCAGTGTCTCTTAGAATTGTTCAATCTCTTTTAGAATCCAGAATAAAACTGAGGGAAATAAAAGTGAAAATGTACATTTCTGAGATAAAAAGATAAATTTTAAAGGAAAAAAGTTTCTCTGAAATTCAAAAAGGTACCTTTCTGAATACAAAATGTGCGTTCTTTAAGTAAGAATTAGCATTTTTGAAATGAAATACTACATTCTGAANGTGGGAAATTCTTTCCTGAGTGACTCAGACTGGTCGACCTGAGGGAGAGCGTCCACACCAACGATAGCTTCTGGACGTGATGCTATCATGTATTGAACCTTTTGTGATCCATTCAGCTTGATGCCACACAGATGAATTTCACTCTACTGCATCATTAAAGGTTGAACTTCCTCCTCTCTGTGTGTCTCCACTTTTATTTGCAGGTAAACAAGAGCAGGAGAGAAGTTCAGAGTCCTTGATGAACGTCTGTCAGTAACGTCCTACAACAACATGCTGCTCTTCCAGAGAACTCCTGATATCTCTGATGAAAGTGGCACAGACTTCCTGCGGGACAGCCGCTAATTAAACACCAACACTGAAATGCAAACACAGAGAAGCTTCCTTGGAATCGGCTCATTGTGCTTCCTGAACATTAGGGAAATCACTGACTGATAAAGTACATAAGGAACTAAATTAATGTAAACAACTTCATGCAAATGGAGGTTTCCGTTCCAGAAATCAAACGTGACCTCTGAATGGTCGGAACAATCATGACAAGTTCCATTTCCAAAGAACTGGGACCGGACCCGTTTACAGTCATTTCCTGAGTCATTAGAACCAATCTGCCAGCAGAGGTCAGTAACTGAAGGTGTTGTTGTCGTTTGTGTCTGTCTTGGATGCATTCAGAGCAGCAGTACGAGCCGTTAAACAAGCGTCACGCTACCTGCTCTTCAATCATAAATTTGCTTTGGTTCAAACTTGTGTAGCTGCTTCTAACTGGACTGATAACCCAGGAGCACCAAACACAGTGACACAGTCATGCAATCACTGCTTCATGGCTCCACCAGAGTCCAACAGCTCCAGAGAACCTGCAGCTGTGAGCAGAAGTTCACAAACTCGTGTAAAGACCACATTTAGTTTCCAGCTACCTGTAATTTTATGATTAAAACAAGCATCTTTGCCACAGAAAACTAATTCTACAAAATAAAGTCGTCGTGCTGTGACAGACACCCAAAAAACAACAGATTTAACAGGAACTCATAGACAACAGCAGTGTGAGCAGGGAGGTGAGGAGGCAGCCAGTAAT